CCAGTTCTTGTATGCATAAGTAAAATAAATCTTCAAAAAAAAAAATGTCTGAGAGAATAAGGGAAGGAAGTCAAGGCATACACAAACATTCATCAGAATGCTAAGAGTATGGTATACTCTCAGGGATAGAAATTTATGGGTGTTCCTCTGCTCATTTGGCAAATATGCATTGAGCTCCTGCTGTGTGTCAGATGCTGAAATTCATTTTATTTCAACTACTAATAGTGAAATCTTTTTAAAAAGTTTAATATCTGCTTTATTGCTTTGGAAAATACCAAAAAAGAGAAAAAAAAGAGAAATACCATAAAGAAAATAAAGCTTGTACTTTATTTGAGAAAAAGAAAAGTACTATTAGGTGAATGTCCAGTGTTAATCCATGAAAAGGATTGAAGAGCATGGAGGAATTTTTTTTTTTGTTTTTTTTTTTTTAGTTCATAGCTATTGTTCTGACTGACTAGAAAATAATGGGGTTACTATAGTTCCTCAGAAGGCACACTCTGGTGTTAGACTGCCTGGGTTCAAATTCAGGGCTTTCCATTCTGATGATGGATACATTTTGTCTTGGTTTCTCCATTTGTAAAACAGGCCCTATACATACTGTATATAGCTATTATGAAGATAAATGATTGTGGTACCTTGGCTTGTAGGAAACCCTTAAGATGAATGTTAGCTGTTTGTGTTATCACACAGGACTCAATCCATAGACAAGTTTGGACACAATCAAACTTGAGGATATGTCCTAGACCTTTGTGATTCTGTTTTAATGCCATTTACAGTATGCATAGTGGAAAGCACACAGCCCTTTTATTTGTAGGTTAACTTTTTTGGCTGCATTTTTTCCTGAAAATGGAGATAGCAGTATCCTAGTGATAGGGCTCTTGTAAGGATCACATGTATGAATGTGCCTGGAATTTAGTGAGCTCTCAATAAATATTACTTTTCTTCTGACAGAGTCAAATATGAGGAAGTAATTCCCTTTAATTAAGAGTGTTGATGAGCTGGGTTCTAGTTAATTGAACTGTAATATGTAAATCAACTTAATCATGGACTGGCTCTGCCAGATAAACACCCAGCACCTGGTATGGTTTGGTTGAGCACCTTTATTTGTTTGATTTTGAAAAACCCTTTCCCCTTCTGTAGCTTCTTCACATTATGGATCCCTTAACCCATTCTGCAAGCAGTTTGCATTTTCAGTTGAAGGAAAAATTTTCCAGAAAACTTTAGAAAATTTTAATTGTTGGTCTTAATAGGGTTGATTTAAGTGAATCCAAGTCAGTTGCAGACAATGGAACAATGGGCTGGTACCTCATCACTCCTTGTTTATTTTTCAAATAAAAGGGGGAAAATGGGAAGTGTTCCAAATTGAGTCACAGGCAGTGGTGAGGATAAATGAGTAAACATTGTGGTCTTTATAGAGACAGATACTGGGTGGGAACTAGAGAATCCTCAGCAGTCACCGTTGACCATTTATTTCCCTTAATGGGATGTCTTCCTGGCATGGCATGATAGAAGAAAATAAACAGGAAGATGTGTTCATAACAACAAAGTAACATGGAAATAAGAGTGGAAGAGAGTTGTGTGAATTGAGTAAGGTGGGAGGGAGTAAGAACTCATTGAAATGAGGGAGACCTAGTAAAAGAAGCCAAAGGGAGAACATTGAATCCTGTCCAATGATAATTTTATGTTATTTTGTGGAATTATATTGGTTGGGTGCATCTCTAGCTTAGTAATTCTTATTATCCCATTGACCTTTACCTTAAAAAAGTGTTCTCAGTCTTAAGCACTGTTGACACTTTGGGCTAGATAATGATTGTGGGGGCCTGCCCTGTGCATTGGAGGATGTTTAGCCACATCCCTGGCCTCTACCTACCCACCTATCCACCCCAGTATGATAATTCAGGTGTTTTCAAGATCTTACCAAATGTTGCAGGGGGAGAGGGCAAAATTACCCCTGTTGAGAACCACTGCTTTGAAAGGGTTTATTTCATCTCTTGAGGTTGCCTGAGGCAATAACATCCCTCTTAGGTTGTGCTTATGGGATGCTCGTAACTCCTGCCCCTTTTAGATTTCTCCAATATAGACTGGCTAAAACACATTGGCAGCCAAATGGAGACTTCCTCAAAGCAAGCTAGCTAAATCCCTATGACGCTGGCTTGCAATGCCACATTTCTAAGTGTTGCTGGAATTCCTGGATTATTTTCTAAGGTAATGTGAATTTTGTCTTCAGTGGTCCTTGCCCCTCCTAAATGATTACTACATGGGAATAATGACAATGTAGTTCTGTGTGTGTTGTCTTTATTTAACATCTGACAATAAGTAAGGAGGACGTCACAGATAAATTATTAAATAAAGCATAGGGCCTCCCTAGTGGTCTAAGGGTTAAGTCTCAGCGCTATCACCTCAACGGCCTGAGTTCAATCCCTGGCCAGGGAGCTAACCCACACATGGCACAGCAGATCTCTCTCCCGCTGCTCCCCTCAGCAGTGTATATCAGTAGATCTACCAGCTTTGCTCCCCACTCTCTCTGGGGAATCCTCTCATCCTCTGCAACGCTGGTCTACACCCTAGTTCTTCTAGGCAAAAATAAATGAATAAAAGCTTAAAAAAAAAAAAAAAACACCTGAAAGTTATTCTCTCAAAAGAGCGTCCCAGAATTATTATTTTAACATAGGCATAACCACAAAGGATCTGAGATGCCCATACTGGGGGGAGGTGAATTGCTAAGTGGTATTTTAGGAAAACAAAGACTTGGCAAGATAAAAACATCCACTTTCCTCTTTGGTTACAGCCTTTTTTTTTTTTTAAGATTTATTTTATTTATGCATACAAGAGCTAGGGTGTAGGCCAGTGGTGTGGGGGAGGTGGGTGAGAGGATTCACCAGAGACAGAGTGGGGAGCAGAACAGGTGGATTGACTGAATTACACTGCTGAGGGGAGCAGTGGGTGAGACAGGAGAGGTCTGCTGTGTCATGTGGATTAGCTCCCTGGCTGGGGATCTAACAAGTGCTGCAGATAGCTTCATAGTGCTGAGAACCCCTTGTGCCACCGGAGAGGCCCCCAGTTAATGTTATTAATAACTCAGATGTCTCATTTATACCATTATTGGTAACGTGCATATAATTTAAATATTTTAGCTTTCATTATACAACTGGGTCTACATTACTGACCTTTAAGGGCTTCATTCATAAGGGATGAGGAGAGGGAACAATCAGCTACTTCATGCAGGGGCAGGCCAGCTGAGTGGGTTTCCCAGCATTGTCAGACAAACCACGACACAGGGAACACTTCTGAGGCATTTGGAACAAGGCAGGGTCGGGACAGAGAATGATGAGGGAGAGCTTTGGGGTAGGGAGAGAGCCAAGGCTTTTTTTTCTTTTGAAAAAGATATCCCATCTTTGTTCCAAGGGAGAATGAAATATCCATTAAGACACTGACACTGGGAATTTTGTTTCGGCTCAGTTCCTTTTGTTGTGACTCCAGGGCAGTGGAGAGGAATTTGGGGTGATGAGGTATCAAGCCAAGATGAGAAAGAAAAGGAATTCCTTCCAAGGATTTCTTCTATTGTCTCCTTAAGAATAAATATTTATAGAGAAAGTTCAAGTGAAGTCTTTTTTACAATGGTCATGGCTTTAAGACTAAGCCTTTGAGAGAGTATGTGTAAAACTATGCTTAAATGAAGGGTGATCCAATTAGGTTTCCCAGAGAAAACCAAGAAACCTCAAGATAATTTCCTATCTAAAATCTAATTTTGTTTTCAAGTGGAATAGGAATACCACTCTGAATTATACCAGATCCATAGACTGCAGCAAAAATGTACAGCCAAATTGGATTCTATTTTAAGTAATTAAGTTATTTCCCTTCACAGGATCTATAATTTGCCTTCAACAAATGTGATTTGCTTCAGAAAGATAAGACATTGCAATTTTTCCTCCAAAATGGATTTTCTGTGCCAGAAACAATTACGAAAAGTAGACCAAATATTGCCTTAATTATATCCTAGTTACTATTGAGTGCATGCCTAGAGTGCTTGTTTCGTGTTCAAAAGTGAGATGGGTATGGTGGTTACTATAGTTTAGAAATTATCTTTAAATGGAGACCGGAGCTGAAATTTACTCAAGTCTGGGGCTTGCACAATGGTAGTGTCAGCAGCAATGGGTGATGTTAAGTAAGAGTCCAAAATCTTGTGCAAAATATGGGTAATGGGGAGCTTGCTTCAGTGAACCTTTCTTTTATGCTCTAAAGGCACCAATTTAACTTTTATCTGCTTGACTGAGCCCTTGAGGTGCAAGGTATTGCAATAGATTGTGTTGAGATTTGCATGGGAGATATTGCAAGAGGGGTATTTTTGTCATGGTTAACTTTATGAAGAAAACATTCACTTTTGGCTTATTTTCAATAACAGTTCATTTGACTTATGACCAGGTGTTCTTTCTGGGGGACCATAATGGGTAATGGTTAAGAGCAAGGGCTGAAATAATGAATGGAAACAACTCTTGGTATGTCCCCTTGAAAGTCCAAGTTGTGGAATGTCTCTGAATGAAAATGGAGTAATGATACTTACATTGAGATGATTACATGAGAAAAGCACCTAATGCCTGGCATAGTATGGACCAGGATTACACAAGGAAATAGTAGTAATAAAATCTAGAACATGGTATTGCATACTTCTTATTCTTAACACACTTGCATCCTTCAGGATGATTACCTTTTCATAGCAAGAGGTACTGGGGCTGGACATTTCTAAACTTCTGTGAGTTGAAAATGAGTATGATTTCAGATTTTGAAGTCACATTACCTGGTTTGAAATACTGGCTGTGCCACATTCTTTGGACCAAGTCACTTAGGCATTGTGGGGCTTGGTTTCCTGCTCTAAGAACGGTTAAGTAAACAGACCCAGAGCCTAGCAGTGTGGTGTAAGGGTTAAGGTAAAAACATTCTGAGTATATAACCTATGACAGATACCTGACATGCCAACAGAAACCAGAACATAACACTGTTACGTTTATTATGTACTTTTATTAACAACTAAATACAAGACTGTACATTACAGGTGCTGAAATCAACCCACCCATGAAAAAACAACAACCCAGCATTTCTATCACTTCAGGCTTTGGTTATAAGTGCCATCTCCTAAGGCGAAAATCAGATAGCGTAACCAATTTTAGAACAGGAAAAAGAAAAACCGTTCCATGAAATGGAGAGACTATTAATTCACGAACAGCAGAGGGTCATTTCTAGCCTTAAGTAATTGCTACATACTCTGGAATGTTTGGTTCTCTTTTCTACAATCCTATTATCAAACATATAGCAACTAAGAACTTGGCCACAGGTCCTGCCTAGACACTCTTCAATATGAAACAATATTTATATAAATAAATCAATTAAACCTCACAAAACTAAAAAACTAAAAAAATAAAAAACAAACACAAGAAAAAAATGCAACAGTCAATAAAAACTGTACAGTATTGGTCAGTCTTTTATATCCGAAAAAAAAAGTGTAACTTAAAAAGTTTTTTTAAGTCTTTTATATCAGTGTTAGCTGGAATGAAAACTTGAAGATTCGGACTCAGTTGAAACAGAAGAGTGTCCACCCCGCTTTCCCTTGGAGAGGATCTTGAGGCTGGACCCTCTGCTCACAGAGGTGAGTGCATGCTGGGCAGACGTTTTAAATTTGGCGCCCAGGAAGGCGTACAGAATGGGATTCAGGCAACAGTGGAAAAAGGCTAGGGCTTCAGTGATGGAAATCCACTTGTGCACAGTGTTCTGAAATTCACATCCTTGATTGATGATTTCCAGCAGGATGAAGGAGTCGATGCTGAGCCCAATGTAGTAGGGCAGCCAGCAGGCGAAGAAAGCCAGGATGAGGATAACTGTGGTCTTGAGGGCCTTACGCTTCTGATAGCCTTTGGAGTGTGATAGCTTGGATATGATAATGCAATAGCAGGACAGGATGACAATACCAGGCAGTATAAGGCCAACGACGATGTGCTGAAACTGAAAGACCACCACCCACAAGTCATTGGGGTAGAAACGGTCACAGATGTATTTGTTTTCCCCTTCCTGGATGTTGGCAAAGATGAGGTCAGGAATAGTCAACAGGAGAGCAGGAATCCAGACACCAACATAGACCACTTTTTCAGCCAACAGTTTCCTTGGCCTCTGACTGTTGGTGGCATGGACAATGGCCAGGTACCGGTCCAGACTGATGAAGGCCAAGATGAGGACACTGCTGTAGAGGTTGACTGTGTAAATGACATGGACTGCTTTGCATAGGAACTTCCCAAAGTACCAATTTGCCACAGCATCGACTGCCCAGAAGGGAAGTGTGAGGACAAACAGGAGGTCAGCCACGGACAGGTGCAGCCTGTACTTGTCTGTCATGCTTCTCAGTTTCTTCTGATAGCCCATGACCAGGATGACCAATCCATTGCCTATTATGCCAGTCAAGAAGATGATGGAGTAGACAGTGGGCAGAAAGATACGGTTGAAATGCGCATTTTCATCTCGGAAACAGGGTTCCTTCATGGAGTCATAGTCACCAGAACCCCCCAAGTCTTCCTCGGTGTAGTTATCTGAAGAATATATCTGCAAAAAAGGCAAGAGAACAGACATTCACTTTCAAGTTCTGCTTGCATTACTTGTATTACCAAAGTTTAAAAAAAAGTTTGTCCTATTTAAAAAAAAAGTATGAAACCCAATTCAGCTCCCCCCTTTCCAGGAAATTCTGCCACCGAAGTGGGCGGTGGGGGAGAGGGCACAAGAGAATTATGGAATCCCACAACCCTCCTTTCTCGACTTTCCCCATAGCCACTTCATTATATCCCTCTTTGGTAGAGCCAATTACAAAATTCTTTGTTTGGAACAAAAGGGCGCCGAGATTCTGAAGGTTTCAAACGTCTCGCTAACTTCAGCCCCGCCCACTAGAGGGAAGAAAAAATAACCCTAAGGAGAAGGGAAAAAAAAAAAAAACAAACCCAAAACACAAAGAGGCCACTCCTAGGTGGCGGGGCGGGCGGGCCGGGGCGGGGCGGGAGGTGGGGGGGGGGTAAAAGAGGGGGGTAGACTCTCATTCTGAGGAGATGGGTTTAACTTTCAGCGTGAAGATTCGCGAGGACAGAGGAGAGGGGAGAAGGAACACCCGCGAGGGGTTCCAAAGACTCCCTCTCCTAACGCACTGTTTTCCCCACGCTTTTCCAAACAAAAACTGTTCTGCGCAACAAGCAACCTGTAGTGGGGAAGGAGAACGCGGCCATAAAGTGAAGTCCTTTGGTACTGGGGGTACTGGGCTGGGGTGTCAGAGGTGGGCACCCTCTCCCTCCGGTTGGCGCTCCTTAGGGGCGTGGGTTTCTTGCCAAATCCGTGCGCTTCACGCATTTGGGACGTTAGGGAACGCAACATTTTCCTGGGAGGGGAAGGTCACGGGGTACGCACCCGTGGTCCTCACCCCAAGTTTCATTTCCTCACTCTCCCGGCTCGCTTCCCATCCCGCGCCTGATCCAGTAAGACGGGGTGGCGGGCTGCGGCAGGCCTCCAGGCGCAGCGCGCGCCGGGGGTCGGGCGGTGGCGTTGCGCCTCGCTCAACCTCTGCACACCACGCCCACCTCCGGCCGCCAGCGGCTCGCGGTTCGGGCCCCGCGGCAAGCCGGCCTCTGTACCGCAGGGTGCAGGGGAAAGATTGGGCGGCTCCTCGCGTGCGCCTTTGAATTGCGCGCCGCTGGGGGAAAGGGTTTCAAGAGGCTCCAGGAAACCACCGACGGTTTAACGGCGCAATTGGGCTCGGCGAGAGCCCAACGGTCTCCTCACTTGCACCTGCCAGTCGGTGCCGCGGCGTCCCGCGGCCAGGTGCTGTCCTACCCACTGAATCCGCACCCAGCCCCCTGCTGCGCAACCTTGGGCTGCTGCTGCGCGGTTCCTGCCTATCCTCCTTAGACCTCAGCATCACCCCAAACTTCAGAACCCGGGGGCCTACTCCCCGCCCTTCCGAGGTCGTGCGTCTCCTCCCTTCATCCCCAAAGCGCGCGCGCTGCTCTCAGCGACCACCCGGCTACCTCCAAGGCTCACACCACTCAGGCGAGCCGCACCGCTAGTTTACCCATCTTTCCCGCCCGCTGCTGTGTCCGAGCACAGGCACAGCTCCGCGGGTCGCGCGCGCAACTTAGCGAACCTGAGCACCACTGCAAGGATGGTCCCCAGGTGCCTTTGCTCGAAGTCAACCAGGGGACAGTCTCCCGCCGGGCACTCAGCCCCGGCGTGCTGCCCTCCACTTTAAGTTCAGATATTGGAATTCGCCCCAAAGAAACTCCCGCTCCCGGTCCTAAGAGAACCGCCGTCTGAGTCCCGGGGCAGCGCGCGCGCCTTCTCTGCACTTGTGCACAGAATGTTCTCATGTTTGCAAACAGCCTGCAAGCCCGACGCGCGCCACGACTCAAGGGGGAGACAGTTCATAAAGCCACCGAAACGGTCGCCCCAATCTTTTTCGCCTCTGCTTTCAGAGAGAAAAAAAAAAAAAGGATTCCAACCCACACCCCTCCTCACGTCCGTTCCAAGGAGCCAGCGCACGAAAACTCCTTCCCAAGCCCCTTCTCCAGGGCGCGGCACATTCAAGGGTCCGGTCGCGTCCAAAGACTCGGAGGGGCTGCGCTGCTAAATTCAGGTGTTTGTATGTTTAAGAAAAAGCAGGTTGAAAATGGACTTACACGGAACCCGTCCATGGTAAACTCTTGCTCTCCAGCCACGGTGGCTTCCCGAGCACCCAAGTCCAAGTGGTCACTTTGCTACCTGCTGCCGCAACCAACAGACTGAAGTTTTTGGCCCAAGCAGTACTTTTATAAAAACAGGATCGTCGCGTGACGCATGCGCCGCGCGAAAGGGCGGGCGGGGCCGGGAGGAGGAAGGCAGGGCGGGTGGGGTGGCAGGGTGGGCTGGGGGGAGGGGGCAGACTGGCGGGCGCGCGGGAGTGACAAGGCATAAGCACCAGCGGCCCCTGGGGTAAGCCGGGGGAGCTCCTGTGCGGCTGCTGTTTGCTTGGGGTATCCCGTGAGTCTCCAGCTGGGGAGGGCATCCCAGAGCCTCTCCCCAACTTAAGAAAGCAGCCTTGCACCGGAGGGAGATGGGAACTGCCGGCGACCGGCGCGTCCCCATATGGCGCTTCTATCCTCGCTCAAGTGGATGGAATTCCAGACCCGGGAATGTCAAATGGAGACCCCAAGGCCCAGAAATGGGAGGTGACCTTTCCGAGGAACACAACCAGCAGGCGGCAATACTGGGAGTGGGTCCAGTATCTGACATCTACTTACTCCCTGTTCTTCTAGCACAGGCAGCCCATGCAAAACATAAAGTAAATATCCCTTCTTCAGAGCTCAACTCTATTGATTCATGCACATCCACAGCAGTGGTACCAGGGTCAGTCATAGACGATCAGGAAACACGTTGTGAAGGAAAGATGATTTGCCATAATTCTGGAGACTGTGCTGGAAAAGTATGACACATTCGAGAACAGTGCTTTTTAAAAAATAATGAAAGTGTGGCTTTATAAGAGATTTAACCAATACTACTTTCTTCTTCTTCTTCTTTTTTTGGTCACATCACGAGTTACTTTCACCGAACCACTCACTCATTCTCACAACACCCCGCGTGTGTTACCATTACAGAAAAGCATTGAGTCGACAGATATTAACTGAGGGCCGGCTGAACGCCAGGCACGATTCTAGGCGCTGAGGATACAGTGGTGAACCAGACAACAAGCTCTCCACGCTGGAGAACAGGCAGCAGGTACACGGATGAAATGCCAGGGTGCCCGGGGATTCCAAGTCGGGCTTGAACCCAAAAATTCGGGCCTTACATCCGGTGTCTTCCATTACTCAATACGGAGCACAAGCCTTAGCACAGACAAGAAATTAGGTACAAGAGCTGGGCGTGGTGCAGATGAGGGCAGCCTGCGTTTAAGAAGAGTTTGCTTCGCGCGCCTAAACAGTGCTTTCCAGTCTCGCGCCACTTCCCGCCCGCGCAGGGCTGGGTGGGGCGCCTGGGGAGTGCTGGGCGGGGCGGGGCGCAGCAATAGTGAGACCGCAGGTTTAGTCAATAAGGGACCGAGGTGTGAGCCGGCGCCCGCAAGAGTAACGATTTGCGCTGCCGCACTTATCCCAGACGCCCGGTACCTCGGGACACTCCCCAGAAGAGGACTTGTCCGTCTTTCTTCCAGATAAAACACTTTAGTCTGGAGGTGTTCCCGAGGTAGTCCGGAGTCTGGGAACCTTTTCTTTACAGCGCATAATTTCCCTCTTTTGTTTGGGTCTCCTTCGGTCAAGTTTGTCCTCATCTACTGAAAGCTGATAGTGGGATCAGTAAATGGGATTCTTAGAAACTGACGATTTAGGACATGCTAATCACTAGACAGAATCAGTCATAATATCCTATTATGTGGGATTTTAGAAAACTTCAAAATACTTTTACTTTTATTCAATCATTAAGCCGGATCTTCACATTTTCGTAAGGTAGGTGGAACAGGCATCCTATTCGTTAAAGGACCAAAATTTTTAGACTAGTTACATGCCTTGTCTTTCAGGAAGCTTGCGTGGCAGATCAAAATGTTTTGACCCAGAATATCAGCTGCATTGTTCCTCAAAATTCTCCTTCACAGTGGCTGAAAACCTGAAATATGGAATCCCCTGTACCTGCACTAGAAGGAAGAGAGACTAAATCTGGAGTAAAATGATTTGCTCAATAAACATTTGTTGGTTATTTGCAGACAAAAGGAAGCTCCTTCCTTTATCTGAGGACTCCTTTAGAATCCTTTTAGGTTTATCTGCTAAAAAGAAGCAGATAATTAAGAGAACAATGAAATGCTATTTAGTGACTATCAAATTAGACGCCCCCCAAAAAAATTCTTTTCCAAGGTAATACTCAGGATTTGACTAGACAGGCCATCTCTCCCTTGTGACTGGTGGGAACATCCTCTCTGGAAAGCACTTTGTATTCAGCTGGGACCTTAGAAAAGTAATTCTACCTGTAGAAAGTTATCCAAATTTAGACACAGGAATTATGACTTAAAGGTACGGTAGTCGAGGAAGCATTTATAATAGTGAAATGTCTGAACAGTGAGTGTCACTGTTAGTGGAATAGTTGAGTAGATTTTGGTGCAGCTATACATGGAATTCCATGTGGTCATTGCAAGTGTTTGTGATGAATGTTTAATGGTATGAGAAAATGCATATGGGTGAAAAAAAGGCAAAAGAATTTGCAAAAAAAAAAAAAAAACCAACAGGATTCAAAGCTGTGTATAGAGTGAACACAAATGTTAAAATACACACTAGGAAAAGATTGAAAAAAAATCAAAATGTTTATAGGAATTTTCATTGGTGGAGATAATTATTTGATTTTTTTCACTTTCTTCTTTGCATTTTTCTAGCTTTCCAAATTTTCTATAATAGATTTGAGAGAATTTCATATTCAGAAAAGTCAATAAATACATTTAAGAAGGAAATGGAATGCCTTCCTTCTCATGCTTTTGCACTCCCTAAAGTTTTCCCTAGATATGGTGATTTTTTCCCCTCTTAACAGACCTCCTATCCTTTCCCCAAGGAACGGTCCCCCCTTGTTTCCCCTGAACTAAACCTAAAGCTAAACTACCTTAAGATGTCTTAAAAACAAAACAACTCAAACATTTATTGAGTGCTTGTAATGTGCAGCTGACCACTGTTACGGAAACTGAAGTTCAGAGAGGGTGAGGAATTTGGCCTAAGTCATGCAGTGAAGATCTGTACCCACTCTGTCTAACTCCAAAACCTAGGATCTCTCCACTACATTATAATATATCCTTTCTTGATAAGAGAAAGGGATTCACTCTCTGAAAGCTCCCTCCTCTGAAAAATCATTTGGCATTCATTTGCATACTGCTTTGAGTGACATCTCTTGTGATGTTATTCAATTTTTAAATGGTTGTGTTCTTGGTGGACACTGGAGTAACATACTCAGTTTTGAATTCGAAATTAACTAAAATAAACAAAAAGACTACAGCAGTCATTGGGGTTACAGGAAAGTCACAACAGACACCCTTCCTGCAACCTTTGGAGTGCCGGCTAGGCACCACACAGCTCCAGCACAGGTTTCTATACATGGAAAAGTGTCCAATCCCTCTCCTTGGTCGTGACCTTTTAAGTAAACTCAATGCACAAATTATATTCTCACCCAAAAATCAGAGGCTTCACCTACAGGTTCCTCCAGAGCATGCTCTGCGGTTCCAAATGTTACTTACTCAAAATACTCCACCAAAAAGTGAAATTTTACCTCCAAAAATTGTTGAAAGAGTAAGTAAAGGGGTATGGGCTGATGGAACCCCAGGACGTGCGAAAAATGCGGAGCCTGTAAAGATAGAAGTGATAGAGGGGAGCAAAACCCCGAGAAGGAAACAATACCCCTTAAGGGAGGAGGCCTTGAGGGGAATTGAGCCAGTATTGAAAAGGTTCCTTCAATCTGGACTCATTCGGCCCTGTCGCTCACCGTACAATACTCCAATTCTGCGAAGCTTGCCTCCATTGGCAGGACTGGACAACCCGGCCAACGAAAATGCCCTGGTACCCTCGAGAAGAGGAAAGCCCAGGTGGAGTCTAATGAGACCAACGTTATACCTGAAGCATACATCGACGGGATGCCACCGGTTCGCTCTGATCCTGTATGGAATATTTCAACAAAGCCAGCTAAAAATTACTGTTAGTTATTTCTACCCTGTGATTTTATGCAAAAATAGGAAAAATGGTTTAAAAGTAGATTTAGTTTGCAAATTTTTGCTTTGCTGTTAAAAGTTTGGGATCAAGGTTGAGAAAATTTGTGTTTTTACATCAGTTGAACCATTTTAACATTTTTTTTCCTCTAATTTTTACATATCTGCTGTCTTGTTTTGGCTAACACCTCCAGATTTTTTTTTTTTTTGGCTTAAACTGATAAACTATTTTTCCTGGAGTGGAGGACTTTTGCTTTCCACAATGGACAAATACCTGGAGAGACTGACTGCATCCCAACCTCCATATATTCGATCTTCATCACCATGGAAATGGTGGCAAAAAGTGAAAGGGGGGAATTGTTAGGGGGAAAAGGATGTCCCAAAGCAAATTCCATATAGGCTTTGTGGACTCCACCCCCACCCCAGGTCAAAGCCAAAGACACTGGGAACTCCAAATCCCATCACCACCAAAGGGAAGGTGGCTGGGACCTGATGGTGGGGTTAAGCAGCCAGGTGGATACAAAAGGCAGACACGTGGGCTTAGGGGGTCCCCCATTTTGGCTCTCCACCAGCTCGCAGCGTCCGGCCAGCTCTGAGAGTAACTTTGGGTTTCCAGGTCGTCGGATCGGGTAGGACGCATTAAAGACTTTATTTCCCTATTTTCTCCCTGAGTTGTACATTTTCCTTATTTCCTTTTCTCTTGTAAATAAACCTTTTATTAACCCTTTGGCGTGTGTCTGTAGTAGAGTATTCATAAGTCCCTTTAAAGCGCGCGGGTGAGGACCCACAGCCAGGAACCCGTTTAATATCGGGGTTGCTCTATAACAGTATGTCTTTATTCCTGTTCCCCAAGTATTCTGGGTTCCTTAAATGAGTGTTCAAGATATCTTCTATGTAGGTAGCCCACTGATGAACAAATAATAGGCTCCCTAATCTTTTACTGAGCCTTTATTTAATGAATTAATGACTTTCCTGTCTGGCTCTGGCAACAAGCTAGGCTTAGGGGCTGTCAGGGCTTTGGCAGGGTCTGCAAGTTCTCAGGTTGGCTTTAGCCCAGGGAATAACTAATCTTGGCCATGGCTTGGAGGGGGTGCTTACAAATCC